CACAGTGCTTACTGCAGCAGTCACCCTCCTCGAATGACACCTACAGGAGAACACGTGATATCGCACACCACGCTGAAACTCTTTATACTTGAATGCGTAGACGAAGGGATTGACCACTGAATTCAATACAGCTATGGTTGGTTTAATTGAGTACAAAGTATTGTATACTTCAAAAGATATGTTACTGAAAAAGAATAGAATCACAAATATACAAAAGACCGGTAGCCAGACAAGAAAGTAGATGACCGAGACGATCAGGAGTAGCTTGACCACACGGCGGCGGGCCGCCAGAAGCTCATTGGCCGGTGCGTGGTTGTTGTCTCGCTGCTGATTCCGAGCAGCCCTTTGTAGGCTTATCAGAATTTTTACATAGCACCCAAAAAGAATCACAAGAGGCAACCACACCTCAAGTATACACAAAAATGTAAGACAAACCCTTGTAGACCTGTTTGCAGGTAGACCTTGTTTGAAGCACTGATTTGTGCTGCTGTCGTAGGACGATGCTGCCAGAGAAGGGACCGTGAGTGATATTGAAATGGTCCATATTACAATTATCAGTATTCCAACTTTTACACGAGTGAAGAGACGGGGGTATTTCAAGGGATGGACAATACCCACATAGCGTTCCACTGTCACACCCACCATACTGAAGATGGAGAGTTCACAAATGCCCCACACGATCCTTTGTGCATGGAACAACTTGCAGAAGATTTCATTATGTGCATTATTACCATCAACAAGACCACTGCTGTATCTTTCTTGAAAAGCGATGAGGGTCACACACACAAGGATGTCGGCTACTGCTAAGTGTGCAATAAGAAAGTTGGTCACATTTTGCATAAATGTTGCCTTTGCGATGGTGATGCAGACGAGGCTGTTCCCCAAAATTCCAATAATGCAGAGAGTCACTTGCACACAGAAAAAAGCATATTCAAATTCAGACAGTGAGTTGTGTGACAGCCAGCCTGATGAACTAGTATCCGACAAATTGTTGGAATCCATTGAAGTGGTTGTTGGTTCTGAGTGCATGTAGGCTATGTATGTTGTTAATTGTCAGAACTGTAATTTAGCAAAGAGATAGCAAACTATTAGGCTTCTGACTAAAACTGTGCACAACTAAGATTTCAGTTTTACATGTCCTCTTGATTTTCAAACTCACATTATCATTCAATTTAAATTCCCCATTCTGATGGATTAAAATTTCCTCACCAAGCTGTACGGGAATAATTGAAAGCCTTTTGGAAGTGAAAACACAAATTTCAGCATTCGTAATTGATTGCAGCAATATTTAATGTAGCATTGATAATACATGTAAGGATAAAGTGATTTGTCAGCCAGTGTTGTGGTCAAACCATCACAAGACCAGACAAAAGACCATGTGCAAGACCACACACACAAGACCAGTCACAATTAGCAGTGAGAACAATGACAAAGGAATGCTTTGTTGCATTTCAGTTCAGGTTCAATTTATTTTCCTCATAAGGGTGAAGGGTGAATAGCTTGTGACTTGACTTCAGACTAGAGGTCTTGTGCCCATCTCATGTGGTCTTGTCAGTTAAGGTCTTCAGTGGTCTCGACTACAACACTGTTGTCATAACGAGCTCATAATTTACAAAACAAAATATAAAATACCCACCGTATATACATTGTACACTGTACTTGGTGATTTATCTGAAGTTGCCTTGCACTAAGGAGACATGGATCACCAGCAGATCTTGTCCACACTGTCCAGAAACTCCTTTAGTGTTGTGTGGTCTCTAGTTCAGAAGTGTTTATTGTCAGCTTCAGTCGGCTCAGGATGAAAATTGCCAGGAGTGTTTGGTTTTCTTATACAATTAAGCCATGATGTCATCTTGCAAAAACCTTACCTGCTTACGCATCTACGTGAACGTGTAGGAGGGTTATTATCTCGCGATCCCTTTCATTTTGCCCCCAAGACAAGCTATTCATGCAAGATACCTTGCATCATGTACTAGTAGGTCAGCACTTTTTTATTTCTTGGATTTCAAATTTGCAGACTCTGTCCGGGGAAAATACAACGAAAATTCTGTTTTTTTGTTTATGACAGAGGATTTTTATAGGCCCTACTTGGGAAATTTTTCTTACATGATAATGCAGTTTTTGAGTGAACTAAACACCACCTCCATATACTGCTAGGTATAGTTAAACATATACTCAATAATTCTGGTTTCCATCCTCTTTTCCAAGTGCCACCCAACCTTTCAAAATGGGTCATAACTTGCTGGAGCCACTTTTGAGTCAGAGACCCTTAAAAAAATCTTGCCCTCTGCAAATTACAAGGAACCCTTGACAGTTTCCTCCACATAATCTCTACTTTTATCAGAATATTAAAGTATTTTATTGGAACAAGCCGGATTGCATTCTAAGGACTTTCTACAAGCACTGGACTGGACGGAAAACAACATGGACATTGACAGACAGGACAACACATATGGGCAATGAATGGGCACACTGTGGACACCGATGTAAAGTTTGCACATTATACCCTTGATTATCTCCATCATTTGTGATACCGTAAATCACTTACAAAAATTGCAAGGAGACAGTAAAGTACCGGTACACAATGGTACAGTTTTTGTGAGAGGCCTTCTGGGATGTTTCTTCGTTGGAGCCTGGAGAGAAACTGCAACCACGCCGCCTTTCCGCGCCAAAATTCGCTCACTCGTTGCATAGCAACTATGCATAAAATAAAGGCTGATCACGCGCTGAGCGCATATCCATTCGTGCTAGCTAAAATATCAAAACAAAGAGCTAAGTATACCCTTTCCAATGCAAACTAAAACCAAATTACCGTTAAAATGACCAAAGCCTCATTTTTTGACATACATTGTAGATTCCTGGAATGATATCACACGTTTCTGCTCCTGAAGGTTCAAGTGGCACAGGTCACCAACACAGAAGGCACCAAATTGCCCATGAAAAATGGCAAAAAAAAAAATTTTGAGAGGGGTTAAATAGGGCACTAGGACTGCATAGAAAACAAACCATTGGGTGGCCCTAGCCCTTTTAGTTTCTTACCTGGTTATTTGATCTGTACTTCACTGGCCAGGCTGACTTAACAAACACAGTCAAAAATGATCAATCTGTGCTCCTTACTGATGATAACTTTGATAATTCAGTCAAGCCTGAAGTGGTGGGCAAACATCTTTTTACCAGCATCGGTCACTGACTGATGGTTGTACAGGATGTAGACCCATCTGGAGATGGGAATTGTGTAATCCTTGGTAAACAACTTCCTCTGAGCTAGTCAAGATTTGTTCCCATATGACGGATGAGGAAATTTTGCGAGGAAGAGGCAGAAATAAGAGAGATTTAACATCATTAATGTATAGGCCTTTTTCATGAGACCACGGGTAGTGGCAATGACACAGACTATGTACATGTAATTTACTCTACTGGTACATGTACGTGTAGTAGCTGATGAAAATTTAGTGTTGACCGCTTCTTGAAAGCCAAAAGGTGATCAGAGGACAGAGCTTAAGGTTCAAGACGATCAAGAGAACCGAGAACTTTAGGAAACTTCAGTACCAAGTTTTTTCACAAAACTGAGTAATTGGCTTAAACTTTTATGCTTAATTTGCATAATAAGCACTTTCCAGACAGATCTACAATGATCAATTGACCCTCATAGGATCTAACTTTCAGCCATTACTTTAGGTTACTGGTAGATACCTTTTGCTCTTGCTTGGCCAGATAGAAAAGTTCAGATTGAGATGGGGACTAAGAATGTTATGGGACTGTTTTTTCTCCCACAACCCCAGTCTAGTCTTTCCTAACAGAAATATTATCCCCTAAGATGGTGAAGGCCTACCCCTGTAACAGAACTACATGTACTAGTACATTGTATCAAGTGGAAATACAGTGCCAGATGGGAACCAGTACCAGCACTTTTTGAAGTGAGAACAGGGGCGCTGACGCAATTAATTTTAACAGAGACACTGTTACCAACTGTCTCGTAGTTTTCTTAACAATGACACCACCAGCCCCCCCCCATCAAATTTGCATAAACATGTACATACAGTCGCATGCAACAGTGAATTAGCTGGATTCACATGTACAGGGCATACATGTATTGTTGTTGTGATTCCACATTTCTGTTCTGCTCCTATGACTTTGCTGGGAGGGGGTAGCATTTGCCTGAGTTTTCCTTTCCTTTTGTGTGTCTGCAAACATGACAGTTTGCCCATTGAAACTTAAAAGAATTTACATACATTTAGTACATACACTTATACCTGTATCTACAGCAAACTAACATTAAGTAAGTGGGTTGGTCTAGGTGTCCAGTAGAAACTGATTGATTTTGGATGTCATAGGTCAAAGGTCAGGGTCATTGTGGTTAAACCAATAGAAATGGTTCTCCCAATGTAACATCAAGAAGTTTGGGCATGTCAACATCAAACTTGGAATATAGATTAGTTTGGGATTTACCGGTACCTTCTGTATTGGTAGGATTTTTATAATCCCTTTTCAGGCTGAACCGAGCAGGCATGAAGTAAACCTATTACTGATATAACATTGCAACATTGAAGATCAGAGTATCAGTCATCGTCTGTAAATCTGTTTAACTTGAAAGGTAGTTAGCATAAAGTGTGAGTTTAAGTTTTTTACATCACAATGCACAATATTATTTTAATTCCCAACAAAATTTCATCAGTCTAAATTTCAGACTAGAAGAGACCAAAGCCTTGAAACCTCATTATCTCAAGAAGTACCAGTAACCTTGGTGTTCCTTGACTGCTAAAGTCTTCTTCCCTGGCACACAACAACATGTAATTGTACCCTAAAGACTTTATCTGGCACTTTTATGGAATGTTTGAAAGAAATTTTCAAAGATGTGGCGAAGTTACGATACGTGTAGTTCATTCAAGTTCACCATTGCTTCATTTGCCAATCATTATTAAAATGAGAAGTTGTACTGCTTTGGATTGGTACATTACAGTGATGTCATTCTTTTTTATTGTTATGTTTTTGTCTCATAGGGACTCCAGGAACGTGTGCAAAAGAGGCAAACCATCCTGTCCTACTTTGGCGACCTGGTTGAGCTGATTCAACCCATGCTACGAAACCTGAGGTCAGCTAGTGACCTTTCCTGGATCTACAAGGTCGTAGGTCACATCATCAAGTGCTGTTCCAGCATTCTTTATGTCAAGGTACCAGTGAGGAGTGGTTTTCCCTTAACCAGCCAATAGTGCTTTTTAGTCACAGGATTGCTATTTGATTCCAACATTTGTAGTACCGCAGTTCTGACGACAGAGAGCATACTGTTCGAAACATTGAATACCCTCCAGTTCTTATCAGAACCTCTCATACTTACGAAAGAGATATTTTGCATGGTGCTACTGCAAACCTATTACCTTTGCATTACCACCTTCAAAAAAAACTTCAAGTCTCATTGATGATTTTTCTGTTGTGGCAAATATTCACACTTAGAATTCATAAATTCAACACCTCAACATAACATACATGAAGTTGGCCTCGGATGGTCTGCTCTTTGGCGTGAATTGGAGAGAACTTGCACCTTAAATCAGTGGTACATTCCAGATATTAAATTAATAAAAGGAAAAAAAACAACAAATAGGCACATTTCCAGATTCATTTATGCCTGGAATAGTTCTGTAGCCCCCCCAACCCTTCCTGAAATAATTTTAAAAATGAGGAAACTAATGTTTGAATTTGTTGCGATGTTGAATTTTGATTATCTTTCTCTACTCTACAAGGGCAAGTCTCAAGCCCAACTACCAGGCATTCTGACTGAGCTGATCCTACCACCAGCCCTCTTCAACCCCAAGAAGGGTCTTCCATCTCACATGCTGTCTGCCATCCGGGAAACCTTGCATCTGGTGAGAGACATTCTTCGTGTCAGTAGAAAGAGTTCACAACAAATGTCACAAAGATGGTACTCACCACTTTACAACTTCCTGCTCATGGTCTGTCGCACACAATCACCTGCCCTTCATTCTGTGCCCATAGTTCACAATACACATGTGCATTCAGATGCTTTGCGTGGTAGCCATCTTGCAGGGCATGCAGTTCTTGTGTTCCACTGGGAAACCTCTTTTGTGCATACCCTGCAGAACAAAAGTACTAGCCTTCAAGATGTCAGCTATGCAAGCCCTCTTTAAGCTTTGCGTGGTAGCCATCTTGTAGAGTAGTTCTTGTGTTCTACATGTACTGGAAAACCTCCTTTGAGCATACCCTTCAGAACAAAAGCACTAGCCTTCAAGATGCCAGCCATGCATGCCTTCTTTGTGGCTTTGCGTGGTAGCCATCTTGTAGTGCAGTTCTTTTGTTCCACAGGGAAACTTTCTTTTTGTATACCCTGTGGAACAAAAAAATGCTGGCCTGCAAGATGCCAGCCACCCAAACCCTCCGATGGTGAAAGTCCATTGGTAGTGGAAGAAAGTTCAAACTTATTCCAAGCATGGTAAAAAGTTTAAGCTTAAAATTCATTGACTACTTCTTTCTTACTGCAAAATTTATTCCATTTCAGTGGGCAAATTGTTTGAAGTAAGGGTGGGAATTTACGTTTCATTTGAAAAACGTTGAGAAAACTTTCCCATACTGTTTAAACGTTTAGCCAGGACTTTACAAAGGCCACTGCAGCCTACCAGGTACCTCAGTGTTGTTATGCATAATTATGTAGTTCAAGAATGCACATGGTCCGACCAATGTAAACATGTAGAGTAATTTAAAACAAGCAATGTTTATTGTTTTAGAATCCCCTGTTTTATCAAAAAGTTCATGGATGCCAAAAGGGAAAAAAAACAGTATGTAACAGGCATCATTTATAATAGAAATGAATGCCAGATTACATCAAACAAAACGTTGAACCTCTAACAGGGACGGTTCCGTTTAAACGTTTGGGAAAATATGTAAGCAGGTTTGGAACTTTTTTTCATTCAAATGTGTGAACATCCCACCCTTAGTTTGGAGAAAGGCTGAATTTTTCTTAAATGCATAGTGAGTTAACAACCCTGTAGTTTCTGAGAGCTAGCTGTTCATTTCTACAATAGGATCATCCATACTGTAAAATACTAAAAAGCATCTTACCCTTCACAAAGATCAGATAAATTCAGCAAAGAAACAGTTTCAGTGTACTGAGCAAATTTGTTATATGGAGTAGGAAGGTAACTTCAACATCCATAGGTTCAATTAAGTCTCCGTTGTGTATGTTGCTTCGTTCCGTTTCTCTTAGTTTCTGGAAGGTCTCGCCAGTCTTGACCTACAACGCAATGAATTCATTCAGCGCAAAATCCAAGAAATTGTTCAGCAGTACTTCCATCGCTTCCAAGTTGTAAGTTTGAGTCTGCAGATGGACTACTTTAGAACTAAATGAGCCAGGGGAGAGATATCTGCCTCCTTCCCTTTGTCATTTTGTCCAATATCGTTGCAATGCTTTTTGGTCACGTACATGTACCGGTACCAAGTCTTTGTAAGTTTTGAAGTTATATTATGCAGTCATTTTAACGCCGATTTTGTAAAAATTGGTCGTATTGTTCTGGCACGTTGCCCATTTTTCTCTATGGCCAAAACTTTGAACCCAAAGTGCAAAGTTTTCCATAAACATCCTCAATGCACAGGGACCGATTAGATGCATGAAGCCATGACCCTCAGATGACCATGTCATCAAAGTTCTATTGAATTGAAACATTACAGTTGTACTAGCGATGAGTGCCTTATGAATGTCAAATTTCAAAAAGATTGGGTGTGTTACAGCCTAGTTTGAGGAGATCTGCTCCTGAGCTTGCTGTAATATGGTCCAAAAAGCCTGGCTCTTATAGAGAAAACTGACAAGGAAACAAAACCAACAAATGAGCAATCCAGTGTTCACTGCCTTGAAAACTACACAATTGCATGTACATGGAGTTCAACATTACATTTTACCCCAATTTGCCATCTTATATTCTTGTTGTTACTTCAGAAGAATTCCTCTCTTGCAGCAGGGTCTTTGGGAAGTTCATCAGCCAACCATCCTTTAATGGTAAAGTACATGTACCTTCATGTTTTTCACATTTGAAAATTGATTGAACAGATAATGTCTGAATACTGATCATGGCTGCGATGAAGACTTTCAGTTCATTCTGTTTTTTGTTTGTTTTTCTGTAGGTTGCATTGCATAAATCTTGTGCCCGACTGCCCAACCCACAGATCAGGTTAGTTACATGTAATGTTTAAGGCAATGTACTGAATAATATTTCAGTCCATAGGTCCCATGTACACAACTGGCTGTCCATGGTCCATTTCCATTTGGTATGATCACAGTATGTGCACAAGCCCGCATATTGTAGCTTTCACATTATGATTGCAGTTCTGCGTAATGACTAAAAATGTAAAAAGATCTTTGGAGAAAATTCAAAATTGTTTAGCTTCCTCAATTTTGGCATGTCCACGAAATTATGGAAAATGTGCAGCATGATAATTTTACACAGATAATGGATTTTAAATCTGAATGTTACAGGAAAAAAGTATCTTACTTCAACACATTTTGATGAAGATTGATGTCTCAGTTTTGCAACATCTTATACATATTTACGGCCAATCATATCACTTTTGCTTGTCAGTGAGACAGTGTAAGATGGCACTAGTACAAGTATATTGATGGACATTGTTGTGTGTGCAGTGGGGACACTGTGTATATGTCTTTGTAAAGTCCAGCAGTAAGATTGAAGATCTGAGCTGGAGTCAGGGCCTTCATCAACTCTGGATGTAAGTTACCTGCATAGACTTATGTACCATGTGCCTTCTGTGCAGTGCCCTTCGAGAGCTAGTCCTGAAGGTGATTTGTCAGCAGTACTTGATCTACCACGGCCAGCAGCCACCCAGCCACTTACCCTACACATTGGCTTTCCTTCAAGAGCTGTTGCATAGAACTAGCAGTCCTCAGCAAATTGTAAGGTAGGAAAGTTTAGTGGATTCCTTACCCTGGGAGGACATACATAAAATCTCATCAGAGCCAGAGTGCAGCAGACACACCTCTTTTCCATGCATTGGTAAAGATGCGACAAGCCTAATTTACGTGTAAACAAGCCACTGAGAGCTCCATCAAGATCTATCAGGGAAAACACATCAATCCAGTAGAACAGATTGGTCATTGGTCACTGTCACAGTATGATCTTTCCTTCACGCCAGTGATGGTTCTAGCTTGAGATAGTTCAGCAGATGGCACTGTCATTTTACCCGATGGCAGGAGGAAGCGAGGCCTTCTAGTCAAGAGCACATAATTTTCTCAAGAACTTTAAGCTGGTTTTTCATGTTTTATTATTCCCTATTCACCTGTTACACAAGTTGTGCTAATTAGTACTGGACTGATATCCAAATGGTACAGGTGGCCAACTGGCCATGTTGCGATGTGTTTAGACAAAATGCCATTCACGTGTAAGCCAATAAGCCACTTCAGTGTTTCAGCGAGGCAAGGTCATTTGGATTGAAAGATCACCTGATATCCCGTAAGCTCCAGGAAGTGCACGAGTTGGCATACAGCAGCACCGATGAGACCAATCTCACTCACTATGCATTGATCATTCCAAATGATTTGTGGCGAGTTTGTCCATGCCCAATTGGAGTGCCAAACTGGCCATCTGAGCAGCAGCACCCCCTCATTGGTTGAAAAGAGCTGTGTTGGTGGGAATCGAGTGTTCAATTTGTTGGCAGAGATGCGACTGCAATGCTTGCATTTCATAGTCATTTATAAACCAGTGAAGTGCAATTCCCACCAAAGGAGCCTCCATTGCTAGGAAAATTGTGACCTCTCTTGGTCCCACTCAGGGCCCTTGTTATCCTCTATCCATAGCATAAAGGTAATTGTTACCCAGGAACACTTTACTGGTACATGTATAGTCTTTGCTGAGCCTATGGTACTTACATTTGTGTGTTTTATAGAGCACCGAAGTGTGACGTCACTGCGAACCAGAAAGTGCAGTGCAAATGAATGGAGTACGCGCGAGTGTTGGTTCACGCGCTGGTTCTCGCACTAATGCCTTTTACCATGTTTACACACTAATTGTGCGCGTGACGTATTCACTTCGGTACTTTATGAGGAGAGCACAAGCCTCCAAGAAGTTCTTTCCATAACAGTCTTCAATCCTGAAGAACAGAACTGTCATGATGTTGCATTAAAACGTACCTGCAACAATTGCAACTAACTGAAACTGGGCAAAATGGATACATATTTGCTATCAGCTGATGAAATGCAGCACACGCCCATCTATCAACCCTTCTTTTCTTATCTCAGAGATACTGTTGTGCTGCTTGGAGTGGTGCTGGATTATCTCCTTCTGTGCGATGTGAACACAGTGAAGAAATCCATGATGGTGCTGCTGACCGCCATGATGGATGCATGCAGAAGAGACATGCCACCAAACCTGCAGTGCGTAGATAAACTTTGGTTTTGTTTTTATACCTTCCAGTTTTACAGAATAATCCCAACATGATGTACATATTCGCAGACGAAATGTCCAGAATATACATAGAGATTCAGCAGTTACTTTTGAATACATAAGGGTCAGCTGTTGACATGAAGAAAATGGCCAACTGGTGGACATCTTTCGTGGTAATCGTTAAGGGTGTTTATGGTGAATGCTGGACACCAATAGTTACCGGATGCTGAAGCCTTGTGGGGCATTTCATAGTCACTGTCACTGTGCAAAGTTTGTGTTTGAAACGCATGATATACACATAAAAAGTCTCCATATTTCATTTGCGAGATGTGACAATCACACTCGCTCTGGCCAGTCATGAAAATTTAGGTCAGGGACTGTGTCAAAGCTCTACCATGCATTTGAACTCAGTAGTGACATCGTCAGTGTCCATTGACTATTGCTTTCTGGTGCTTGCATACAATAAACAGTAATTAAGAGATAAACTATAAATTGGCCTTTGATGATGTCTTTAGACTGATCAAATAAAGCTACAAGCCCCTTGGAGAAGTATGATCCGAGTACCTGGTAGGTCTGTTCCCAATTTGGTTCTTATTATCTCTGGCTTTTTTTAGGGCTGACTTGCTGAGTGTCCTCCGAGGCTACCTCTCTAAGCATCTGAGGGTGCATCAGGCCGCAGTCCTCCTGACCCTTGAGACGGTGGCCGTACAGCACCCTGCGCTGGTGACAGCCCTGATTGGCGACTGTTCCAGGCTGGTGTCGGAGTGTGAGCACAAGAGAGGGGTAGGCGCAGACAGCACACTGAGGTGGGTGTAAAGTATTGTCAAGATTGCATGCCCATTGGTGGCTTACATGTACATGTATGTTGGGACAAAAGACTGCAACTAATTGTTAAAACACAACACTTTCCCTCTTTGATGTAATCAAACTAAATGCTAAACTCTGGCTCTCCCATATGCTTCCAAAGCTTCCCAGAGGTTTTGGAGGATTAAGCAGGATTCAGGAAGGTACAACCCAGTCTCTGTTGCTTTACGTAGGACTTTGATGCCCATTGGAATTGAACTGTAATAATGTGCCCTCTTAGATATTCTTTATCAGTCACTGATGTTGAATATCAAGAAGCAGAAATACCTTAGGCAAAATAAGGTTAGTATATATGTAGCTTGATCCCCTATTCCAACCCATGTGGGCCCCGGGCGGAACCACGAGAGGACGCAATTTTCCCAGCAGCCGAGGCTTCCTTGATGAGAACTTTGTTTCCCTGGTTGACAGATGACAAGGAAATGCATGCGTTGCGTATGCATCGCTATGAACACTACTCGCCAACATGGCTCTTTTCAACCGAAGAGGGAGTGCTTTTGCTCAAGGCAGATACTGTACACCTTCACTACAAGAAATGGAGATAGCAAACATGCCGAGAGTTCAGCCTGTACCTTCATTACTGTAATAATCCAACTACTACAAATATTCATGTACATGTATGCCATTGTGCCACACTCATTCAATAGACTTCTGTGTACTGTTGACACTACACTTTGATTAGATGTATTGAACTTTGATTAGATGTATGTTTTCCTATGGTGCTCAGTAGATTGTGGACCCCCACTAGCTCCACAGAAAAGTGCACACATAAACAAAGTGAAACATCATCAGTACAGAGGCCTACCAAAGAGCTTTCTCTTACAGATTATAAAGATTAACCCTTTAATTATTTTTTTTAATAAAATTTTCTCGTCTATCCAGGCAAGCCTACTGCAGTGTCCTGAGTCACCTCGGTGAGGCTGGAGAAGCAGTCATATCAAAGATCAAAGGAGGGGAGGAACTTGTGCAAAGATGAGATCCACCATCCCACGAAGTAACTGGCAAATTTGTGAGTGTTCAGACAAAGTTTAGAGCTATCTGAGTTGTTTTTCTGGTATTGTTGGCAATGATTTACATTTGGTGAAAACGTTTGGACAAATGAACTTTTTGGGGGACCACTTTTTTACAGGACATTTGACTGCCAGTTGTCATCTTTAGATATTTTATTCAATGGAGCAAATGGCAATCTTGATCAGGTTTGTCGAGAACAGAGATACATTAATTATTTTATATCATTATTAATCACTTGCGCCGCCGGGGTTTCCAGTACCGGACATGTATGCTTTATACGCATGGCCGTGGTCTCCAAAATTGGACAAGGGAGCTGGGCCTTGTAACAAAAGACCGTACTCAGAACAAAAGACCAGGCTTGCTGGGCATTACCAACATTTTCACTCTCAATAGTGGAGATAATCCAGCCTTGTTTTGAAACAGTATACCATGGTTTGGGGCATTTAGTGTGAGCGGATTACCACCGGGGACAAAAGTGCTCCACCACTGCAGCAATGAGCCACACAGCACTGCTGCAGGCTAATCTGGCCCCTATTGAAAAGAGGTCAGCAGCGCACTGTGCCAGGTTCGTAAACAAAAGAAAGTTTAACACCGCACAATTTGGGCTCTTTTTACAAGGCTGCAGGCCTGGCTGAAATACTCGGGCGTCAATATATTTTGTCTCTTAGACTAGAATAGCCACCAGACTGTAATTTATGCAGGTGTAAACGTCCATTAATTGAAATGATGAATTTTTGAAGAATTTTGAAAACTGAAAATCTTGAAAAAGTCCCAATTACATGTACATGTATGTGCAATGCATTTTTCAAACCACCCGGCAGTAAGTGGTTAAAGTGATCTTTCATCGTTGACATCTCACACATTGCATACTCAAATCAACAGCATCTGTCCTTGATTTGTAATGTTTTCCATTCATGGGCTGTAACACCAGTGAGACTGTAATCATGGTTTTTACACTCTGCTGATCTTTTACGGTCTCCTGTCAAAGGGCATCTGAGAAAAAAATACAACGAGCCCACTCCAGGCAAATTGCCAAAGCAACCCACCCCATACACCGACAAGCTTGGTGATTTATTGTCCTCACGTATGTTCTAATGCACCGAAGATTGTGGGTTCTAAGCAAGCTTGCTGAATTTTTGTCACAAGTTCTTTCAAAGCACTGATTGTGCAGGGGCCGTGATATGGAGCAGTCACTAATGAGCAATATCCATGGTTACATACGTTGTGTCAGTGCTAAAACACCCTTACTGAAAAATTGCATTAAAAGGTCCTTATTGAAAAATACTATATTAAAGAGCAACTCAAAGGAAAACATGTTTCCCCTGATTTTATCTTTTCAAATAAATATGGAAGCATCCAAATCGAACGCAGTGTCATTTGTCTTCTCAACTATAATAAGCTAAAAAAGGCTTTTTTTTTCTGTTCATGCCAAGATGCGAACATGCTGAATGTAGATTGCATCATTCTGAGAAAACAGAAAACGAGGGGAACCCTCACCCTGTGTTCGTATCGGATAAACCCTCGTGCATCCCAACCAATGGCTACAAACAATGGCTACATGCAACGTTTGACATGCACAAGGGTTTATCCCCTCTGAACACAGGGCGAGGATTCTCCTCGTTTTTCTGTTTTGTCACAATGATGCAATCTACATTCAGCATGTTTAGAATTTGCATCTTCGCACGAACAGAAAAAAAAAACTTTTTTGGCTTGTTAAAGTTGAGCTCTGAAGACAAATGACACCGTGTTTGATTTGGATGCTTTCATATTCATTTGACCAGATAAAATCAGAGAAAACATGTTTTCCTTGGAGTTGCTCTTTAAAAATGAAGTGGGACAAGAAAACTAGCTGAAATTTAAATAAATTGGCCCCAGAAAACTACTGTAGTTTAAGAAATACGAGTGCAATGAATGTAGTCTCTTTCAATAAAACATTTCATTGATCCTGACATTAAGGCCCTAAGAATATTTTTAAAAATGTCATTTATGCTGTAATGACCTTTTAGTACTGACCAAATATCCCTTTGATACAGAAATCTATCAAGAACCTTGTTTGAAGCTCTATCACCAGTTTTGAGTGAGGGACCTCCAAATTAAGTTTGTACTCGGATGGAAATCACTGGTCTATATCAAGGCCACAGGGGTCACCGACAATAGGTCGTAAATTATGCATTACTACTGATACTGTTTAACGCATCATGTACATGTAAATATTTGTGACAAAAATACGCTCTGTATCACAATGTACGGACAGGTTTAATTCAATAAACCAGTGAGTGAATACCAACAAGTAACAAGAAAAATCTTCTTTCAGCATTCCAGCCATGGTGTGATACAACCATGAGTAATCAATCCCAAATCTTAGATCCAATAAACAATGCATATCTCCAATTCTGTCCGTGCAAGCCATGCACCAGGCATAAAAATAATCAGGGATTCGTTACTCTCTGAACTAGACAAGGTGCAGTCGTCTAGCAACAAAACCTGTATTAGGCACACTAGATATCCTACATTAAGCACAACGATGCTTTCCTTACTGCTGATGTTCATTCAAATCCAATACTTGAAGTTCATCTGGCTGTAATTTGCATCAGAATTACATGTACTGGGCCTCTGTGTTGTGAAGGGTGGAACCCTACATCCTGTCGTGAAATCCTGCAAGAGCTCTAGCTGGTGTCTCAAGCTTGCAGTCAAGACCTCTCCACTCACATCAACGTCTGTTGTCTCTGCTGTATATGTCATGCTACATGTTCGTGTAATGCTGGTAATTTGTCTTCATTTTGTAAACCAACTGAACCCACCATGCCGGGAGTCAAGCACTGGGCTCACAAGCATTGTTCATCCTTTAACAGCACAAAGCAGCAGCCCTAATATCCCTCAGAGCTGTAACATACCAGTGTGTGCAGAGGAGGTACAGTGTGCTTTATCCACGGAAGCCATGCACCGTTCCAATCACCACCTCTTCCGAAATGATGTGGTATTTGCAGCTAAAACAGCTATCTTGAAAGGCAGACACAACATAAAACTGGCAGTTTTTTCCCCCAGTCGGGCCATAACTCACTGCGGCTGTTCTTTCATGACGGTAGCCATCTTCAGAATGTTTCTGGCTTGCAGAACCAGAGGCATGTCAATCATACTATCCCGAAAAGTGAAGGCTCCCTGGTGTAAGGAAAATGTAAAAACTATGTTTAAAGCTTTTGGGGGGTTTACTGTATTGACTTAAAAGCACCTTCCTGATACGTACCAGAAAATCTTTCTTGACATGCTTGAAGGATATTTTAATTTCAGTGTTATCATGTAAGCCCTCTAATATTTTTATTTGTATGTATAATGTTAGGATCATTTCAGTTCGGCAGTAAATTGAAACATATATCTCATGATTTTCTGTCATACAAATAAATTAAATAAGTTGTGCAAGGGACAAAGTATTATTCCCACCAAACTGGAAAGTAAAAGCAGACCGTGTCCTGACATACAATGAACCACCATCAAAAAGAATAATGTACTGAAGGGTGAAGGCAGGTACAACCGCATGCACATCCCTCTTTACAAAGTGATGTTGCCCCTACCTTGCCTGAATGCTGGTGCTCTTCAAAGGCTTCTATGAGAGCCCTGGCCCATTCCATTTTCTCGGGGGAGGGGCTGAAGGCCTTCTGCACAACTGGGATTTGGTTTGGGTGGATCACCTGCTTGCCTAGTTGGTGCAAGGACAGACCGATACTAGAAGAGCATTTCCTATGTCTGGTTTAACTGTCAAGGGTTGAATGGTCTGTAGTAGTGATACTCTGCTGTCAAGGGTAGCCACTTTTGAGCTTGGAGCAAACAACCACAATGCTTGTTTTTTCTTCATTCTTACTTCAACTTTGCTCGGATTTTGTCAAGTTAGTCTCCCTTGTACGCTTCTGTTTTAATTTTGCAATATATGAAGATGACATCAGTACGAATGCAGTTTACATAAACCACATTAACGGATCAATTTATGGGCTTTCTTACTCCCCTCATTTAATAAGTTTCATTTAAAAAACAATTTCCCCACCTGAAATTGTCCAAACCCACACTTTATAAACAAAAGAATCTAAAAAAAAATCACGATATGTATTCACAATGCTAAGTCTTCCGTGGTCCAACTTGCCTTGATCAGTATGCAAAAGAGTGGTATCAAAATTGATGAATGGATCAAAATTGATGACAAGTTGTGATCAAGTCAGTCACAAGTCTCCTCTGGTTAGTCAAATAGTTCCACGTCAACTCACAAGCTATAAACTGCGAAACAAAGCTGATTCCTTTGTCATTATTCATCCTTATCAGTTCTGACTTGACCTGTGAATCAACTGGAGAATTAACTTGTGATTGACTTGATTTCAACTCTGATGAATGCTGACCTGTAAATCCCATGCGGGCTCCCTCCAGTGACTGCCTCTCCAGAGATTCCAGATCTGTGGCCAAAAAAATCAATCAATCAGTGAAGAAATATTCCATTTTGGTCCTGCTTGACTGTGACTGAGAAATCATTCCCATTCCACTCAGCATTCAATAAATTTTACTACTTTGTGAAATCCCTCAGAGCAATAAGAGATAAAATACTGCACATGTAGTGCTTGTAAATGGCACCACTGACAGACTCTACACCGAACATACCCAAACCCATCGTACCCCTTTGTAGGGAAGAGCTAGTCCATTTTGACAAAATGTATCACAACACAGCACCTGTTGCCTTTTTTCACCAGTCTCTAAACTTGGCCTCCTCACACGAATTTCAATGCCACGATATTACAGGAAATTTGCCTGCCTACGCAGAGCAATCTGTAGTCACAGAATAACATGAAATATAAAAATCAATGCAGTATGGTGGGTCCAGCATTGACAAAGTGGGGGGGGGAGGCCCCTGGCATTTATAAAAGGGGGAGGTACCCCCAAAAAAGTTGAAAGAACAGTTGAGGGCAAGGGGAAAATTTTTTAAGAGGAAGGTATCTTGACGAAAAAATTTAAACTGAGGGGCATATACTGAGTGCGCTCCTTCCTAACAAACTTGTGCAGTAACTACTAAGCATTTCCATTGCCCATCAGGTGCCACTGGATATTGAAATTATCACCAGCTGGCATGGTCTACCTTTGTAGTCGATGTGAACCAGATCAATTGCTTGCAGTCGGTAGGCCTTGGCGATGGTGACGACCTTCTGTCTTGCATACATCAGCTCGGTAGCTTCCGGTGTTCTTGTTGCACCTGAGAATGTTGCATTAAAACAGGCTGAAATCATTTACTTTGGTTTTTTAAAGAATCGTGGAACAGACTCATTATAAACTAATAAACATTTTAGCTGATCGAATTCATGATCGAATTCATTGCACAGAGTGTCTTTCTGTGACTACAATTTTCTAGTTTGTTTGTCTAGCTGCTATCAATTCAGGGAAGGTAAGACATGAGCATAACTTATCTTTCTCAGCATAACTTAACTTAAAATCACTTGTGCATTTCAAACCAAACATTCAAGGAAGATACAGAAAGCGTGGGGGTTATACTGCACGTCATGATGCAGGTCAAGATGTAAACATTCAAGGAAAACTCACCTATGTCGGCACAGAAGTCATCCGATCCAAACACCACCCCTTCTAAAGTGAAGAATGGGGTTGTCCGTGATAACCTTTGACCCTCCTCGCATATATTGGCTAGTCTCAGCAGGCCGATGGCACTTTCCACAAAGATGACTAGTTTGATGGGGGACGCGGGTGGCTTCGAGCCAAAGTGGGCACTGAGCTTGTCTGCAAGCTGAAAACAGATTGTTACAGATATGTGCATGTTGAACTATAAGACCTCACTTTAACCCTGAGAAAGCACAGGGTATTAGGGCAAGGAACCCTGCCACACCCAGCAACTTGGACCTTGATGGAATCGTCAAAGAGAAAGACCTGCTCACTGTTAACAAGATCCAACAGATCAGTTACATACATCTAGAGGCCACTCAGCCACAGACTGAGACTTCTTGGATTAGTCCGTAGCTTGAGTGTGCAAGATAGAGGTGGTCACTATCTACTAAGGGTGCTTGTGAGGGGGTAAAGGTGATGCTTGCCCTTCCCCTCCAAAAGAAAACAGAAAAAGAAAAATTAGATGAAAGGGGTAAAAACCACCAATATGCTTAGAAAAACTTGAAATAGTCCCCTTCTACTGTTAATGATTATCAGTTTGTTGCTGATGAGTGCTTCGCCCTGCTAAAAATTTTTCCCCTGGAAAAATTACTTCGCCCTCCCCCCTGGCTATGCTACCTACCCACTGCAAGTGGCCCTCTGACTCCACCTTGGGCAGCATGAGTGTATCAGGGAGCCGCTCGGCTTGCAGCACCTCCTTTAAGTCCTCCTCAGCTAGCCCACTGTCCACAGCATTTATGCGGACGGCCACATCCCCAACGGTGGGAAGATGCAAGGACTCCAGGCTCTTCCTGATTGTCTCTCTTGCAACATCCTGCCGAGTAGCCAAATGGGAAATTTCAACTGCCCAGTCTCACAAAAACACAATTTGTATAGGGACTCTATACTTGCAGGGCATAATTCATCTAAGAAAAGAAGGTATCTCCAGAATGTTTACAGGATTAATCGTGATTCAATTCAGGGGTTCCCATCTCATTCAAGAGATCGTTCTAAATTTGACAAAATGTCAAACAATAACCAACACCAATGACAATCACTAATGTACATGTACATGTAGGCTTGCCCACCTCAGGGCAGGTTTCAAACTTTCTGTACAACAAGCAAAAGTGACGAACACATTTAACATAGATTAATTTTGGATTTGCCCTGCCTGACACCGGCAAGCTTGGTGGTCGAGTGGTTAAGACGTCTGCACTAGTAAGCAGGAGATCGTGGGTTTTCACAAGCTTTCGGGGGCACACTGAGCATACAATTGTAAGTACACGTCAAGCGGGGCAAATCCAAAATTAATTTACATCTCCCCGGCGCAAATCCATCTTTGAAATAAACATTTAACATACAACTGGAAGGAGGGTGTTTATTCCCTAGCTGCTCACAAGGAATAGCAATAAGACGAAGGCCAGAACAATCAAGATGAACAAAGGGGACTGAGTTGAAAGTCCTGAAGGGAGGCCTTAGCCAATGAGAAGAAAGTGGCCACGGCAACTGGTCACCACCCAACCAATTAGCTGTCCAGGCTGCCCATGGTATCCAGGATTGTTACTGCACATGGTGTCCAGGAGTGCCACATTCCAGGAAATGGAAGTCTGTTTCTTTTAAAGGAGTGGGAAATATTTCTTAAGCTCTCTGCAAGAGGCACTACCCTAATGAACAGCTTTCTCTATGATATTCAGCTGTGTGAAAGCACCAACTACATGTCTCCGTTTCATCTCAAGACAGCACAATCTATAAATTCCTGAGGGAGTCACAGTACTTCAAGATTGTCTTGTGCGATCTGAAATTGTTTATCTAGGAACTTTGGTCGGTCACAACTTCTACGAACCAGCAGTTCCTTGACAAGGAGCCAATTTACTCCTTGCCTTTTTGAGATAACCAAACTGGCTCTTTTCTTGCTGAATTTGTAAACAATTCCATTTGATACTGAACATTATTTTTCAAAATAGCACCTTTCGATGAGCTCACTCAAATTTCTAATGACCAATACAAAATAATGTGTACTTCGAGACACCAGAGCTAAATTTAGTGAATTCAATCCCTGACTGGTTTAGTCCACACATCCCGACAAACCTTTCTGTTGGATGCCACTCCGTCCTCACAGTCCATGACGGCACAATCCACCGTCAATCCAGAGAGCTTGGCCAGCTTGCGTTCATCACTGCCTGGAACGTACAGCACTGCTCTCCTTGGGGTGTACCCATGGCCCTTCCTGAGCCCTGTAGCAGGACCGCTCATCACACCTCTGGTCTGTGTGTAGGGAGCGCTGGGTCTGCCAAGCCAATAATGAGCCTGCCGGCAACAGACTCTCCTGATGATGTACAGCATTGGGATGAACTCTATCCGTAAGTATATTAACGAAAAAATGTAAGATGGAAAGCACTTGGCACGTTTTAAATTAAAGAAATAAATTTTGTACATTTTTAAACAATACAACTGACAATGTGAGAATTAAAAAGTCTGTAAGATGATGGAATGTGGCATGTTTGGAAACTAAAAGTTTTAAATTAAATCTAAAATAAAGCAATATTGCGCATTTCTTGTAAAATAATCAAACAGTGGTGAAACTGACATCCTGCATATATGTAACAGACTCTAGCATACCATTTCTCAAAAGCTGTGCATGCATGTACCACTTGGTTAATTACAAAATCACAAGCATGACAAGTCAGTCCAAGATCAATATAGCCCCAGAACTGTGGAGTTTGCCATCCATCGCACTGTCACGTGGGAGCACAGCAGATGACAAACCCAATCAGTTGTGCAACTTCTGGGAATCCTTCTGCACATCTAACAGATCGATATCAAGGGGTCATTCAGTGTCATTTGGGGAAAAGGACTCCCCAGTTTAGAAAATGGGAGATGTATGTCAATTTTGGCAGTGGTGGATATAAATTACTTTTCATGGTGAAAGGTTCTTAAAATTAAAACCCTACCAAATGAGTGGCAGGGTACTTTTGAGACTTTTTCACGAAATAGCTGCAACATAGCCGATCTGTTCAAACTCAAACAATACAGAAAAAGCGGTAATTAACTATTAACACTTACATTTGGGAAATGGGGATGGTCGGTGATATGAAGCAGCGAAGTGGAGTGTTGATTTTACTCAATTTTTATTAAAACTGGGGGGGCTCTGAACAAGTTCTCAAACTGGCTCAGTCTGTTAGTGTCACTAGCAGTCGACGCGCGCGACACTCGACCACAAACTACATAGTATCCGATACATATCGGCACCTCACACACGATCGCCTCTACGTAAAAGGATCCGAAAAAAGACGTGCACCACAAGTGCAGTGTACATCGAAATTAGACTAGTACAAGTTTTGCAAGTGTGATGCTTGTGTTTTATTTTACGGATTTCAATTCGCATTAATCCATTGATTTGACAATAAGGTCTAGCTGTTATTGTTTAAGTATGGTGGCTTGATGTCTTGGTGTCTTCATGCCATGAAGGCTTGATGTCCTGATGTCTTGGTGTCTTGATGTCTTGGTGTCTTGATGTCTCGATGTCCTGATGTCTTGGTGTCACGATTTCTTGATGTCTTGGGAAATTAAGTGATGAGACTGGGTGGATGAAAACGGTTGGAGTTCATCCTTCGAAGTCACTTCTTTCCTCTGACATTTTCCTATGCCCTGATACCCTGATGTCCTGACGTCTCGATTCTTGGCGTCCTGACGTCTTGGTGTCACGGTGTCTGGATGTCCTGATGTCTTGGTGTCTTCAAGTCTCGATGTCTTGGTGCCTTGGTGTCTTGTCTTGATTTATTGGTTCCTTCCTTTATGTCTCCGTGTCTTGATGTTTTTATGTGTTTTAAAGTGCCAGGTTCAAATTGTTAGATTTGTACTGTGGAAACATTTCCAGAGTCACTTTTCCTCTTCCTGAAAACGGATTTTACCCACAGTTTTCCCTTTAATGGTAACGTTATATCTTTGGAGGACAACTCTCTCTCTCTCTTCTTGAAAACGGTAAATGTGGATTAAGTTGCACTTTGACCCTTCGAGATCATCACAATTTGGCTGATTTTAGTAGATTTGATTTAAAAAAATTATTACACCACTCTGTAAGCAGCAGTTAGTCTTCTTGGTTTTGCTATTAAAAAACAGCAATCTGGAAAAATCACGACGTGGGGCACTTTTCTCTCGTTGTGAAAACGGTGGTGAAATAAGGAGAAAAGTTCTATTATTTAAAAGCGTAATCCACAAAAGATGTAAGTGTAAAGTGTCTGGTCGCAATATTCAGCCTTACAATTAAAACAAGTCATAATTGTGCATTCTGCTATGTAAGCTTTGTCATTCAAATTTGTGAATAAACAAATATCTTCACAAATGCAAGCGAAGAAATTAAATTTAGGTACTTTCATTTCAAAAATTGAAACTTGCTTTGCTCATTGAAGCGTGAAATTTGAACCACAAAAAATGGCATCAATCAAAGCAAAACCACGGTTCAACAACGGGTACAACCAGAGTTTGAAACTTGTTAGGCCTATTTCTTGTGGTAATTTTTGCGAGAGTCTACTTTTTCTGATACACGCTGTAGTTTAATTTCGAAGTAAAGTGTTTTTCTGTTATAGTTTTTTTCTGTTTGATGTTCAGAACTGTAGGGCGCACACTTCTGACAAAGGAAAAGGCAGACGTAGAAACAAAATAAGTTCAAAAATTTGGTCAAATTTGATTGGTTTTCTTTTTTTTTATCTTTGTGTTTTGTTTTGTTGGTGTGTTTGCTATTTTGTGTTAAATTTGTTTGGAGGTTTTGATTTGGTTAACTTATTTTTATTTTTGTACATTTTTGCATGAGTATAGTTTAATTGCCTCCTTGTTTCTTGTCCGTATTTTATCCTTATTTGTATTTTATCCTTATACCTCGAGCATATAATATATGCTCGAGGTATTCCCGACTTGATTCAGTCATAGGCCTATTATGAAGGACTTGGGTAAAGCGCGTGCCAACACAACCGGCAACGGCCTAAATGCGTGGCGTTGATAGGTTTCATTAATTAAGCAAAATTATAATGGATTCGTATTGATTCTGACATTTGAATGGGACTGCCTGAGGTATGTTGGCGAACACAGCAGCCGATTACCTGAGCCGAGAGCCTGATTAAAATTCAGCTCAGGTTTGAACGGCGTTCTCCCGCGCTATGTTCTTGCAAGATATGGGTCACAGCGGTGCTTGCTGCTGAAGTCAGAGCCTTCGTATACCTTCTGATTGTGATTACCAATAATTATAAATGAACTGTGCAGATTAATCTGCCCCGTGTTATTATTGGCTCGGTGTGACATCCATATCAATAATCATGGCCAAGTCCGCTGGCGCACATGCCGTGCAGTACACACTTGAAGCTGTGCAGTATTTGGTGAATGGAAACGTCAGATCACCTGTCAGGTAAGTTTGTGTGGTGCGTGGTGTGGTGCATGACGTGATTGTGGTGATTTATGATTATGTCGATTATGGTGATACCTGGCGGTGAATAGTCATAATATAGATGTGGAGTTTTTGACGGGGATTAATTTTAATGCTGGCAGAGGTGCGATAATTTATGATTGGGCCGACACCAGTTGTAGCCATGGTGTTAGTGGCTACCTGGAAGTACGTGCCCTATTAGTCACAGTAACGGTGGCAAATGACACTTTGAAACTGAGAGGTTGTAGCTATTCACACTAGCTTCCCGTTCATGATTATCAGTTTGGGATGTTTGGCAAAGTTTTGCCAGGTTGAATGGAGGTTCTGGGAAAATTATCTCTAAATGAAATTATCCTAAGAGGTATTCATTCGCTTGCGTCACGAAGAGATATTGATCGACGAAATCGATGCCATTTCTCTTTCAAATGCAAATCACACGCAGTTTCTCACATCGTGGCTCCGTAGGCCTATAGGGGGCCTAATTAACTCGGTCATTATAAAAGGCTCGTAATAAAACCGTGCAGTGTTCCAGATAGGATTCATGATCAAGTTGATGTTAATTGGCTCGTGTTTAGTACAACCTAGCTGGGAGGAGCTGGTATTTACTACGTAACCTACCATGAAGGAAATCAAATGGTCGCAGAAAAGGGCAAGCCTCCCCCAGAAAAACTGCAAAACCCATACGTATAGGCATCACGTTTTTGTTGTTTTTTTCTGGAGGGGGGGGTGAAATCGTCCCTAAACTCTTTCGTAGTCAATAAAATAGGCGAAATGAGGTGTCCTTTGAACTTCTCAAGAAACAGTATATCAAATAGCACCTAAAAGGAAGAAAGTACAGGGGTTTTTTTTAAAGACGCCGTCTGGAGCTGGATGAAAGGTTAATCAAAAGTGTAAATAATAAACATAAGATGTACATGTACATCTCCGTCCCCATTGCCATGTTTCCAGGATCCTTCCGCTAATTTTCGAATTTCAACAACCAGGCAAAATGGATATCAGTTATCCCTCATATCCACTGGTCCTGGCACAAACTATACACCACTACAATTTTGCAAGTTTTGAAACAAGCCAAGAGTGTGAATTTCGTAGCAGAAAAAAGAATTTCCCTGAGCCGCAGGGTTTAGCCGTGATGTCCGTCATTATACTGTATTACGTAGGGATAAGTTGTCTTAGTTATGGAAAGCAGAGCGCCCTCACATGGAGACTTTGGTAAAACTGGATTGTAGATGGTTTGACTGGGGATGTTCCCAACAGTAAAAATAACATGAAATAACTAATACATAAATAAATTGATCAAATCAAACAATAATACATCAAGGAATAAATAACTTATCTAAACCAATCGAAATAGGGTTTGTTGGCAATGTACGGTGCCGTGTATACCAAAAAAGGACGAAACTCGACTTTTTGAATAATTAGCAGTTAAAGGAATCTGTTAAATTGTACTAGCGAGTGGCATGATATGTCTCAAGAAAGGAATGGTCGTCCTTTTCCAATGACATCCTCAGGCCTACTTTCTGCGCGTAGACCTAGCTAGACGTTCATGTACTGTATGTAGACAACAGATTTGGATGCAGCCTGAGGATGAATACATTGTCATGGTTAATGCGTTACTTGGGATAGTTTAATAATTTGAATGCCCTCATTGTGAATATAAAAGAATGTAACCAACCCTACCGCGTATTAAATTTAAAAGTGTTGCAGGGGCACCGCGTGCCGGGTAAAGGTGAACCGAGCTGTGACCCAAGAGTGACCCTAGCAGACGATTGATAGTCACGTGACCTGCCAACATCGCCCCTGCAGAGGCAGCCATTTTGGAATGCTCCTGTCTCTCGAGCGCTGTGGGGTAGCCGTCGATCGAGTTGGCAGACGAACCATCGGAATTTGGAGATCCGGTTTGCATTTGATGTAGGCCTAGTGCGGACCAGAAGTTTGGATTTTGACAAGCCGTCGCTCTCTTGCATTTCTTTTCAATTTTAGCATGTCGGGCCAGAGCGTTCTGGACCGTGTGACGGCGGCCAAGCACACAATCACGGGCTCCGACTTGGCCAAGTCGGTGTGCAAGGCGACTACCGCTGAAGTGATGGGGCCGAAGAAAAAGCACTTGGATTGTAAGTACGCAGTCATGACAGCCTGTGTTCCACACATCAGCTGCGTGTACTACCATGACTACACGTAATTAACTCGTCTAATAAACATGACGTTAATTACCACTTCTACAGTTTTTGTACATGTTGTAGCTCCTAAGTAAGTTGTAACGTGATCATGTCATGAATCATGCACGTTTGCAAGTGTAAGTAGCCTAGCCCAAAGATCGTATAGCGCCGCAAAGCGGCTCAAGGTGGCAAACTTCACCGTGAAAACACGTAAAACGTTGTAATCGCATGGGCGCCATTTGAGCAAGCGATACGCCTGCACAATGTACATTAATGCACAGGTGCAGGCGCCGCCCCACAGCAGCTACATGCACCTGGTGAGCCTGCGCCCAAGCAATACTGAAAACTGCGCAGGCGTATCGGTTGCTCAAATGGTGCCCATGGTAATTACATCTCTTGGGCAGAGTTATCCATCTTGCGCCTTTGGCGCTATACGATCTTTGGCCTAGCCTACATTAAGGCTTAGCCCCGGACTGGGGGGGGGGCCAGTCTACTAGACTACTTTCATATCCTTGGCCCTACATGTGGCACCACTAAGTGGAGCGTAAGTATTCGTCTTTTTCGATTTTGGACGGGATCGTCATACATACATAGGCCTACATGTAGGCTAGGGACATGCATAAATGAGCGAGGGCGCTGTTTATTTGGAAACTCATTTTGTTAAAAAAGGAAATTGTGATTATAATTTGTCTTTTTCCACACACTCTAGCTCCTCTATTTCATAATTTCCAAATCTCAAAATTTGTGAGATTTTTAGCGAAGCCAGCATGTAATTCATTGAAATAAAGCACAAACAAGAACAAACATTTTATGGAAATGTGAATTTTCAGCTTTTCAGTCAAAATCCACATTCATTTTTGTGTACAAAAAATCACAGTTTGCACTCCATTACACATGTACAAAAATATATCAAAACATCTCAAAATATTCCTGTTTTAAATCAGTATTTCTTTGCTTGCAGAGTCCGATAGAATCCAAACTTATATCAAAATGTTCCCAATGACATCCTCTACAAGATCACCTTAAAAAGAAAACAGAACAAAAGTAGTTCAAAAATATATGAGCCTCCCTACCTTGGCCTAGTAAAGTGACAATGATTCTCAAAAATTCCAAAGACTCACCAGAAATACCTTTTTTACCACCTATACTGGCTTTCTTATATACCAAAGGAAAACTTTTGGGGCTTTAGTGAAATTTCTGTCTTCTTTCTTGATCATACGGGATGGCGGGGTGCGTGTTCACAGGAAGTGACTAGATATTAACCCGTGAAACCTGGTCTGCTATTTTTCTCAAGACTCTTAGAGGGTTCATGCTTGGACTCTGTTTCTGCATCAATTGAAAAAAGAAATCCCAAACACAATGATAAAATTGGAAAATGAATAGCACAAATGGGTCGGATTCGAACCAGGGACTATGGATCTGTAGTTCAAATCACTACCAACGAAGCTATCGAAGCGACGTAATGGATTACGTTTTTGAAATGTCTCAAATGGTGTATTGCATTGTCCCCTCTTCATGAATCATTGGTCCCCCAGCTACTGAAAAAAAGTAGCGCACCAGGTTTCACGGGCTAGTATTAAGTCGCTTCCCTGTTCACATCAGCCATTTGTTTACTACAGCAATTTACTCCCAATCGTTCGACCGATGGTAAACACAGTCGGAATCTGTTTGGTCTGGGAATCATACAGTGTTAAAGACAATGATCCCAACTGCTGTTTATCCGTGACTTCCTACAGTACATGTAGCTGTAGTAGTGAATCCTTGTGTATGCGCGAATGCTATTTATGTGTCGAAGCAACAGCCATTAGGTATTTTCATGGGTGGTGCATCATTGTGCAGGGATTGGTGAGTGAATGGTGTGCGCACCACACACCTCGCATCTGGCAATGATTTCCCACTCAATCCCAAGCGTTGTATGTATTTCATTTTGCAATTGTTCAATGTTCTTAATTAAGCAATTTAATATTCTGGGGACCTACATACATGACATGCGTATAATAACACTCCGGTTCCCAGACCAAATAGATCCCGACTGTGTCTAGCATCAGTCAAACGATCGGGAGTTAATTGCTGCAGTAAACGAATTGGCAATGTGACGACAACAAACTTGAAACCAAAATTTTATGCACGGAAACAAAGTGGAAATTGTCCATTATTGACACATCAATGATCTGACATGTCTGTTGGGAGAGTAAGCCATATAGCAAAACAGGGTTCGTGGAAGGAATTTTCGCAGAGTCTTCACTTTTTGGATGGACCGTTGTGGTGCCAAGGATCAGTAGACTGGCCCCCAGTCTGGGACTAACCTAGGCCTACATGTACATGTAGTCTTATACTGCTTGCCCCTGGTCTTTTTAGCACATTTTTTACACATGATGAGGATATGATCTTGGATCATTTGGCGATAGTCATGTACTGGGATCTGAGTGACTGACAGAGATTGGTTACAGAATGTGTGTAGGACTTGCATCAGAGGTATCCATTCATCTTACCATATCAAAATTTTTAAGTGGTACTTGTTTTTGCACTACCTGACAAAAGTGCCGTCGGTGAAATTCATATTAAAAGTTTAGAAACTTCTGTACAGTACATTGTGTCCGTGTGCAAAATGCATGGCAACTGTCAATCTGGTTCCCAGACCAAACAATACACTCTGCCAACTACAAGTTTCATGAGCAATCTTTGATTGATACAGCAGGGAACCAGCTTACGTGTAAGTTGTAAATCTTTACAACTACAAGAGAAGAACTTTACATGTACTCTACGATAGGGCTAAGTCAATTTGAATAATTCACTATTCGAATATTCGACCTTCAATACGATCGAATATCCAGATTTTCGGTCGCACTGACAAAACATTTACAAAATTAGTTGCAATAATGCACTCCATGCGACTTCTCACTTCTAGGACTACATGTATCTACAGCCATGATTAAGCCAGATTGAAGAGAAAACTTTACTTCTTGCCTTGTTGAAAGTTTCTGTTCCTTTCACATTTTTAATGAATGTAGTTTTTGAATTGTAGGATGTACCAGTATTATTTTGTTGCCTTTCATTTCAATCTGCTTGAAACAAGCCTGCATTGTGTGATTTTTCTTATTTAAAACAAGAAAATTCTTCCTTTCTAATTCATTCTGCATTCAAATATTCGAATTTGGAAAATAGTATTTGAATATTCAATAATCGATCGAATAATCAGATATTCAGCACAGCCCTAATGTAAGAGTATTTTGGGATATTGACGTTGGAAGTGCTTGTACCCTGTTAGGAGCTCACATTTTCAACCAGTGTGCAGGAAAAAAGTGTTGTGCACAAGAGTTGCGTGTGGCAGGATAAGTGCAGTCTTGGGCATCAGTCATACATTGTACATATATACATGCCGGTACATGTACACACATGTACTTGTACGTGTATGCATTGCAGTGCAGACTGGCCGTTCAGCTTGGGCCAGGTCATCTTGCTGATGTATATGTATGGGGCTTGAAAATTGTCATGGTATAATATTTATGCAGTTCTTTTGGAATATACTGTAATGTACCGGTATGAGTATTTTGCTGTGAAGTGGTCTGACTTTTTTCTATAGGCCTGTGGGTAAAGTTGGCATTGAAGTAACACCACAAACTTACAGAAAATTCCATTAAGGGGTCATCCTTTTTTGTCATCATTTTCATGAGAGTACAAAGCGTACGCTTGGGAGGAGGGGGTGAACTGTGTGCGCACGCTTTTAGAAACATGCGAAAATGACAATTATAGACCGGCCAACTATCACCCCCAACTACATGTACTTATTGCATGCCATGCAGAGAGTGCACAGGACTCTGATGCATCATTCATACAAGTTCGGGCAATGGCTATTTCTTAAACCACTCAACGATTTTGCCTGGTGTCATATATAAAAAGCACATACACAAGTACCAGGCAAAATCACAAACGTTGAAGTCACAGCCACATGTGAAACAGTCTTTGACCACCCCGAAAGCTTTCTGGGTTGAATCTGTGTCCATTTTTTTCTAGTAGGCACGTTGCTGCATTTTATCAATACAGCCGACATCGAAATTGTTAAACTCACCATGGGGAATGAGCGAGCGTACAATAACCTAGTGGTGTAAGGTGTGCTTATCCTAACATGGGGTGTGAATTTCCATCTTTTGAATATGAATTCACAGTGACATTGTATGGGTGGTGTACCAGTAAGCATGGAATCAGACAAAGATTTTGGCTGTAAACTTTCCGAATCACTACAAACATTCCAGCTTCGCATTTTCATTTGCCATTCTGTTACCAAAGCTAAAATGTAGGGCGTAATTTTTTTGCATGTAACATCTACATGTTTCAGTTTGTTTTACATGTGTATACTTGTATACGCACTACGGACAGGTACATTGTATGACTCAGAGGGCAAGTTTGTCCATCTGTGGGAGTTAATTGTTTACAGTTGTGGGTGTGCTGCAGTGGGAGTGTACAGGCAGGCTTTGGTTGTGGTGCAAGCTGAGATTTCTAACCAAGTAGGCCTATACTGTATGGTACATGTACATGTAATTTTTGTGTTAAACATGGTTTTGTTTGGCAACAAGTAAATTATGAATGTGCTGATGTGTACATGTAAATGTCTACTTCTTCAGTGACTCATGGTGGCCATGAGCACTGGGCATGTACATGTAACATGTGTACCGGTATCACAGCATTTTACGATATACCGGTACATGTACATGTACTCTGTACCCATGTACTGTATGCACATGTACATCTGATTCTGGATTGTCCGTACATGTACCATTACTTGCATTTTGAAATCAGGTACCGATTACAAAAAGCCTGAAATGAAGAAGTAAAATTTCTGTGCAGTACACAAAACGATACATGTAGGTATACTGTACAAAATGTCCATGCACATACAGAACTAGTATAGTTTCCACTGGCATACATTTAATGTACATTTTCACATGTACATGTAT